GCACAGCTGCAGTACCGCTCTGTGCCCACAAGGCGGCAGCACTGCCGCACAGCTCAGCCCGGGGCGGGCGGGGGGGCGCCCCTGCACGTGCAGAGAAGCGAGGCAAGAAACCACGTGTGCAACCCCCTTCCAAAAACTCTTCTCCGAGGAACGCCCCAAAACCCACCCCCCATCGAAACTTAGCAAGCCCTGCCTCTAACCAAATAAAAAACAAAATACACCTTCACTTAAATGTAATTAATATTTATTTCTATCATATTGATCTATATTTTTACACATAGATATAATGCATAATCAATATAAAAATATATTGACGTCTATCCATATATTTTTCATATTGAATATTAATCTACTTGTCTAGTTTTAGATTACTTGGGTTTTTTTTGGTTTTTATTTCAATTTATGCATAGATATATCTCCCTATATTTATTTCTTTATTATAGATGTGTATATTTTCATTTCTATATTAATCATTTAAAAGCCCTGCCTCTAAGCCTCTAACCAAATAAAAAATAATTAAACCCTTTTAAATATTTTTAATATCTATTTCTATAATATTGATCTTCTATATTTGTACACAAAGATACAATGCATAACAGATATTAAAGTACATTACCATCTATCCGTATAGTTTTCATACTGATTATTAATTTACCTGTCCAGATTTGGATTACTGTTATTTATTTCTTTTTTATGGCTCTATCTCTCTCTCTCTCTCTCTCTCTCTCTATCTCCCTATCTATCACCCTATATACATTTCTTTATTATAGATGTGTATATTTTCATTCCTATATTATTCATTTAAATGCCATGCCTCTATACAAATAAAAAACAAAAAGCCCCTACATTTAAATATTTGTAATATCTATTTCTATCATATTGATCTTCTTTATCTATACACATAGATATCATACATAACAGATATTAAAATATATTACATTAACATCTATCCATATAGTTTTCATACTGAATATTAATCTACTTGTCTAGACTTTGATTACTTGTATTTCTTTCTTTTTTATGGCTCTCTCTCTCTCTATATAGATCTATCTAGCTTCCCTATATTTATTTTTACATGTATACATTTATATATTTCTCTTTCTAACGTTCTGCTTTTTGAAATTTGCATTTCTTTCTCTTGGAAACTCTCCCAATTCTTTCAGCTAACACGTCAGAATGACAAAAATATAAATCCCTACTCAACCCCGAGTTCAGAACACGCTCGTCTCTATGGACCTTAGGCACAGAAATTTTTCTCGGTGCATTTTAATACCTCAGGGATGCACACATGTGTTTTATACACTCCCATTTTACAGGGAAGTAAGAGGTGGAAAGACAAAACCCACTTTCTTAACCCTAAGCCGTTCCTGACATAACAAAACCCTAACGACGGAGTGCACAGAGAGGGGGTTCCTTTCCAAGGGGATTTAGAGAGGTCAATTCCTGTCCCTTGCCAATACCTACCGTAAAAACCAGAACAACTCCACAGGTTTTTGGATTCTGCACCCAGCCCTCCCAGGGAATTTCCTGGCAGCTCGGGGTCCCCTCTGGGGAAGGGTACCCAGCACAAGCCCTCCCCATTCCCCGCTCACCTTGCTCCTCCAGCGCAGTGTGTCCCTCCCTCTGGTGGGGACCTCAGCGTGCCCCAAGGGACACGGGAGCCCCCCAGTCTCCACCCCGTCCCCCTCAGCCTTTGCTCTTCCCCCCCAAAGAAGGCACAGAACAACTCCAACTGCCCTGGACAGCAGCACCTTGCTTTATTGGAAGCCCTTCTAGGTCTAGACCCCCTCCCAAAAAGGAGCTGTGCTGCAACAAGAAAAGGGAGGCAGGTTCCAGAAATCCCTCCCCCAAAACCCCAGGCACAGGCCAGAGGCAGAAAGAGGGAGTGGTGGCACAGAGGACACAGGAAGAAAAGAAAGAACAAAAGAATGGGCTGTAGGATGAAATAGAAAAACAAAACAAAACAGAAAAAAAAACCAAACCAAACCAAACCACAAAAAAAAAACCCCACCAAAAACCACCAAAACCAAAAACAACCAAACCACCAAAAACCAAAACCCCCACCCAAACCCAAAACCCAGGATGGGCAGCAAGACAGAGAGGGACTTAAAAAGAACAGAGCCAAGGAAGGGGACGCAAGGATCCACTGGGAAACAAGGGCATGGGGAAGAGCAGAGTGACAGACGGAATTAAACAGGAACACGAGTGCGTTATGGAGAAAGACACAGAAGAAGACGGAGTGCAGAACACACAGCGAGGACAGAGGGATATGAGGAGGGAAACAAGGAGCCAGATAGGAAAGGACCACGGCACGTGGGCGTGCAGGGAAGGCGCAGCACAGCAGTGGAGACAGAAAGGCACGGCCGGCAGGACACAGGCTGACCAAGAGAAGGGCACAGTGAGGACCAGTGACAGCAGCTGGTGCACACAGGTACAGGCAAAAGGACAGCGAGAGGGACAAAGAAATACAGTCACTGTGCAGGACAAAGGAAAAAAGGCGAGAAAGAAAGAAGGAAAGATAAAGACGCAGGCACACTGGAAGTCAGAGAGAGACAAAAAAGCAGCACAGAAAGGGATTGAGTGACATTAAATTGAGTATTTCGTATGTCTTGAAAGAAAAACAAGAACAAGAGAGAATGAAGTACTGAAAGGGAATGGGAGGGGGAGTACACAGGAAAAAGGAACAAAAAAGATGGACAGAGAGAAGATAAGGGGATAAAAGTTGGATATGAGTGTGACAGAAATTCAGGAACAAACACAAGGATTTATTAGAGAGTGTGGCTGATGAGCGTGTCAATAAACCACCAGCTCAAAGAGAACTGGCTACTGTCCCAGCTCGGCCATTAATTCACATCTGTCTCCTGGCAGGGCCATAAAACCCCTGATAAAACATGAGGTGAAAGCTGAATGGATGATGCAATCCAAGTTTGGTGCTGCTCAGCCCTAATCCCAGCCCGTGCCACCAGTGACCGCCCTGATCTCCTCAGGGCAATTTCACCTTTGCCTGTTCTCTTCCCCTCCCGGTATCTCCGTCTGTTTGGAATGAACGTGATGAGAGGCTGAGAAGTGCTTTGCACAGCACAATGAATAAAATGGTATAATTTTCAGAAGACAATTGAGAACATACAGCAAAACTGCCTTGAGGGTACAGAAGTTTCCTAAGAACTCTTCTGGAACAGGGAAAGAAGAGAAACCACACAGACTTTCAATGCAAGACTCTAAAACCAGCAAGAGATTTATTCTTGTGTATTAAATGTTAAAAATCACATGCATAATTATAGAATATTTTATAGTTAAAAAAATATTTCAAAAACCAACCCTGACAGTTTACCTGCAACTGCTATAAAATATCTATTTTTTTATTTTTATATATATATATACATATACATACATACATACATACATATATATATATATATATATATATATATAGACATGGTGATTTTCTGTAATCAAAAAAATTAGACAAGGATGCAACCATCCAGGTAATGCTGAGTGAAGTGATGCCCTGCATCGGACAGTCTTGTCAACCTCCTGCTGGCGGAACTGAGCTCATCCCGGCCAGTTCACAGACTCATCTTGCACATGGATTCAAATCCAAATGACAGCTGTGGAAACAACAAGTGGAAGAAAATTGTATTTTGCACACTACAGCCAAGACCTGTGAAGGCCCACAGTAGAATATGATGTAGAAGAGCCTGTGGTACAAGAAATGCAGCCTCGTGGGCTGTCTCCCCAGACATGCTGGTGGAATATTCTGCTTAACTGGCCACATGCGCCGTGCGCCTGCGTCCTGTAAGCAATGTCAGAAATGTCAGCATGTGTTTTACCAGGCACTTACGGTTTAAGGCATGTTTTAGCTCCTAAGGAAGGCAGCCAACAAAGATGTTTGTAACAATTACCAAGAAACAGACATAAAAATGACAAGTTGCTGATTTTAAGCAGCCGAGTCGTTGCTGTTCTGAAGGATGGCCCCATATGGGTCACTGTTAATGCGTTTGTAGACAAAGTGAAAGACCTGGGGCTGTGGACGGCTGTGCAACTCTGCCTTGATCTTCTGAGGATAGGTATCCTCTGTCAGTTGTTGCCAGGTGTCATCAACAAAAAGAAACAGCCTGTATTCTTCTGGGTTTGCCACTTTAAACTTCTCAGCACAAAGCTGACATACGTCTTCGGTAGTGATATATGGCCTTACTAGCAAAGTCTTTCCTGTACAGCCACTGGTAACTTCCTGGAATGCAACACGAAGGTAGTTCTGTGGAACAAGACAGCAGACATCAGGAACTCGAAAAAAAAGGTCAGCAACAAAAAGCAAGCCCCTCCCTGCTCCAGCTGTCAAACATACCCTGGTGATCCCTGGACATTACGGTCATTCCATGAGCTGCAGCCTGCTGCAGCCTAACCCAGCTTCACAGGACTGCGTTTCATTTTTTTTACAGGGATTCAGAAAGAAAGTTTACTCTGCAGCACTCGAGTAAATGCACACGATCTTGAGGCAAAAGCTGAATCTTTTCTTCTGTAGAAACCGACACACACCCACAACTCTGCTAACAGGGATACATTCTAAATAGGCCCCACAGGGAAATGCAGTTACACCTGCTTCCTCTTTGTTTTTGTCTTGGAGTGATTTTATGAAAATACTGTATTTCCCCTATTGTCTGCTTTATGCCGAGAAATGTGTCCTGAAGCTTTAAGCTGGGTCTAGGGGAGGGGTGGGAGCCAGGGGAACTCTGGCGTGGGTTGTGTTCAGGCACTCTGCTTTTGGCTACTTTGTTTTTTGTTAGCTGAGGCAAGAAGTTTTCCCAGGACTGCTACAGCAATCCTCCGCTGATTTCTGTGGCTTCCTGTGGAACTGCTCAGCTCAGCTTTGGTCCGAGAACCAGAGCACTGGTGGGAGCCGGACGCTGCGAGCCGGCAGGGAGGCCGCGGGACGCTGCATCCCAGCTCCGGACCTCAGAGAAGGTTGGACCAGCTAAAGAGAGAACTCTCTAAATCCACCAGCTTTCTCTGCAGTGACAAGCTCCAATACCTAACAGGTATTCATTTCTTCCTGTGCTCTGCCGGCACCTTGTTTGATAAATAAGCAGTTTTTCTCACCCTCATCCAAGAAATTCCTTTTGTATTGGTGGGAAGGGAGTGCTGAAACCCATTTTCTTCGGAGAGCTTTTTCTCCTAAAATTGTCTTTAAACTGGAGACAGTTTTAAAAGAAAAAATAGCTGGAATTAAAGACTAAAATGCAGTAAGATTGAAGGAAGTGTAAAAAATTACAGTGAAAAAGAGTTGCTTTTTGACTGAGCTGGCAGTCATGGTTCATATGCTGAATAAATTAAGCATGTGAAACCCCAATGGCAGAAGTTTACATTTCATAGAAACGAGCTGTTAAAAGCTAGGACTGAGAAGAGCCTTCCAATGACTCAAGTTCCAAAAAGCACTCTTGTCCAATCAATTATTTCTTGATACCACGTAGACTGAAACACTAAAGCTCTGCAACAGCATTTTAAAAACTGGGACTGAACCTGACTGAATAGAACGAAGCCATTTTTGTTACCTGGTTTGGAGAACTTGAAGAAAAAAACCCAGTCCTAGATATGGAAGAATACACAAGATTTAATTGTTAATGCAGCTGCCACACACAAGACCTGCTTTGAATCGAATGATGGACAGGATTGCTAGAAGGAAAAGCTGACTTTTTTTACAGATGCCTATAACTCATAGACTAAGTATCAAAATTATTTCCATAGGGATCAGAAAGCTGTATTTTATTATCATCAAAGTACTGCAGTTTTTGCTCTTCCATCCCTTTGGGGAAGGTGGAAAGACACCCTCCAGGGCCCAAGAGCTGGCAAAGCTGTGAGACTGCAGCACAGAAATGCCATGACCACACCCTGCTTCCCTGGGAGAAAGATGACTGGAGCTGCAGGTGTGCTCCATGCTGGTTGTAGGGAAGGTGCTCCATTTCAGGACTGCAAGACGCAGAGAGAGAGGAGAGAAAACTGCCATTCTGAGCAGAGAGCAAAATGCTTGCATTTGTGCCAAGCACATGCTGGGAGTAGTGGGCTCCACTACTCCATGGCTTTGCTTTGAAAGAGGCAACAGCAGGAGAAGCACTGGATGCCCTCGGTGACAGCTCTTCCTTGCCCCCGGCATCTTCCTGCATCCAAGTGAACATTGAGCCTGGACCGAGTTCATTTGCAGAGAAAGAGAAGATGAAACTTCCTACAAGATCCTGCAGAAAGAATCTTCTGTCCCCAGCAGAAATGCAACATGCTGGATGCTCCTATGGAAAGTGCAGAGCTTTGCCAGAAAGAACAAAGACTCCAGCTGCTGGAATATGACACCTAAGCACAGGTCAGCAGAACAGAACGTGGATCCCAGGGAGATGGACGGGCTTTGGGCACTGGAAGTGCTTGTAATCGCTTCTCCTCTTCCTAACTGCAGACAGCTGAACTCCAAGGAGTAAATCCTCTCTTCCCAATTCCAACACCCTCTCTCTTTCACAAACTGCTGCACCTGAACAGTCAGTCCAAAGCAGATGGAAGAGATGCAGGCCTGGTTTCAGAAGATGAAGTAATAACCACTACTTTGTTATTCTCCAGTTGAAGGTACTGGCCTACTCTGGAAGAGCAGTACAAAACACAGGACAAAAAAACCCACAAACAAACGTGAGGACATCCTGATTACAGAACTCTGCTGCCTGTTTAAACTTCAAAACTGTTGGGGAACATTTCTCCCACCTCTCCTCTCTGCTACCTGCTTTATGTCACCACTGACTACTGGGCAGTTAGGCTGATTTATACCCCTGGAAATCTGGATTTGATCTTTTGAACAATAAAATGTGCAAAAAAGCTGAATCTAAGATGCAATGGAATTTGTCCTCACTTTACATGACTTAAAGGGGAAAGTAAGAAAACTCTATTATTTGATGTTTTCTTCAGACCATCATAATGAAATTGTTTGATAAAAAGTGCAAAGACTTCAAAACCGAGGAAAATTTGCCAGCCGTAATCTCAGCACTGTTTCATTCTACTTGTGGTCCCAAGGGAATTTGCTACAAATTGTACCTCTTAAATGGGAATTTCCAACAACGCAATCATCCCATTGTCTATATCTAAGCTCTACCTGAAAATCATCAACTGAAGGTACTGTCCTGTTTGTTGTCCTCCTCTTGTGCCACTGTCGGAGAGTATCCCTGGCCTCTGAACTGAGCAGCTGGGCAGCTTGTTCTTCCTGGAAGTTCTTGATGAGTGAAAGTGCTCCATAAGCGCTTGTCAAGTAATAGCCTCCTGTGAAGGACAGAAAGGGAAGAACTTCTTAGAGCGGTCGCAGTCACAAGTACAGGCAGTTTTCTTTGAGATACATAAATTCGCACTGAGAGGCACCCAGCCACACATATAGATATGAAGGTTGCCAGAATATTTACACACAAAAGGAAAACCCTGCCTGGCCTGCACAACACTGGAGGGTGTGGTCTCAGCTGTTTGGAGACAGGCAGGGGTTGCATGTGCTCCATATCATACAGCGCTGTCCATGTCTGCGCCACTCCTGCTGAGGAAAGCTGATTTCTTAAATGACTCGTTATTCCTTTATTCCTGAGCATTTACTCCTCCAGCTGGAACACCAGCTTTATTCTAAACAATTTTCTATCAGTGCTTTGGTTTCCTCCCAAGCTTCAGAAGTGGGTGAAATAAACGTGGCTGTTGTTTGAAACAAAGTAAGAAACAATCTAACACTGTCCATCAACTTAAAAGCAACCAGCCTCAGTGGCAATAAAGCTGCAACAGCTTGTGAGACTCCTACTCTGGAATCATCCCAAAGAGTTGCCTTTGTTTTTAAAGCCACAACTGATCTGTCAGCTTCTTAGCATTCCCCAGAATGTCCAACTAGTTCAGGAGATGGTGTGAAAAGTCCTGCATGCTCCACCTTTATTACCTGAGTAGAGAACAAATGAAAGCCACAACAGAGTTGCCAATGTACAAAAGAAGATGCAGGTCACAAAGTAAAAAAAAAGAGTCTCAGCCGGAGGTAACAGTCCTCAGCAGTCAGGAGAAACAAACAACACGCTGCATGTCTTTTCTTTTTAAAGTCAACTATTTGGGTGGGAGTGTCCAGCTAAGAGGCAGCACAGTCTATTCAGAGGCATTCAGAGATGCTTTCTATCCCCGTGGTACTAAGTTTTGTGTTACTGACAGAATCCCCTCTCAGCCTTTAGCTTTGCAACAAGATGAACACATAAAGTTCATGCAAGACCCATTAGATAAATTAGACAATACACTGAACTTGAAATGCACAACCCCAAAGCACTACACGTTTTTTTTCTGCACAGCAGAGCTGAGCTAGTACAAGCGACAGGCCCAGTCAATGGACAGACTTCTTTGCTGCATTCAAAGCACCACGACTTAATAGTCCCGTAAACCTTTCTGCTTAATAATCAGTTTCACATCTCAAGTCTTTTCCATGCTAAGATTCCTAACAATGCACCAAGACAGGAATAGACTAGTGCCAAACTGGAGGACTCATGGCATGAATTCTCCCAGGCATACTGACATGAAAGAGGATACGGCAATTTCAGAAACTGGCAGGAACAGGAAACACATATACCTAGACACACAGCTAGGCTTCGCTGCAACAATCTACAAACTTCCTCATAAACCTTTTGGATTCGGGGGCCTAGAAGGGCCTTGCAGAAAACATCTTCATTAAAAATGCTACCATGGAAATAGCAAAGAGGCAGATTTCCTTGCCTCTAGCAGACTTTAGCCCTCATTCAAGAAATGCCTCAGGAAGCATAGTGCTAGGGCTTGTAAAAACACTTTGTGAGAAGCAAATATTGGAAAAAAACAAAGATCACTAAAAGGGGGTGACATTCTCGAGAGCACTTCTGCAAAGAAGTCCCCCAGAAGTCTTCACAAAGCACCTAACTCAAGTCACAATTCGCTGAGTGCTGCTGCCCCACAAATCCTTTCAGGAAATTTTCAGGCACAACAGGCTAAGAGCATCTGGCTCCTGCACAGTGCATGTGTTTGCCTGCTGAGTCAAAATGGGTTGGAGACAACGTATTTGCTCACAAAGCAATACACAGCAGCAGATTTTCAGGCCTTTGGGACTTGTGGTCTGCAAGCTGCCCAGCAGTGGAAACGATGACGAATATTCTCTTGTTACACTATCAACATCACTATCATTGGGTCTCCCCTTAATAGGATTCCTGCTCAAACACAGGGAACAGCAACAGTGCTAAGAGGAAGAACACCCCATTGCTATTCCTTCAGGCAGCTCCAGTAAAAAGGAACAGATTACCTTCTCCATGGAGCAAGGATGGATCCAGCAACTCCATCATGTATTCGATTTCAGTATCCAGCTCCAGCATATCACACTGGGCTAACACATACGTCAGCACAGGCAAGAAGTCATCAGCTCCGTACAGCCTCCCTGGGTTGAAGGGAACACAGGCAGTGAGAGACAAACCACATTTTTTTACCAGTTTCCATGTTTGAAAAGAAAGCGCTCTTTTGTGCCTTGTCTACCCATCATGTCTGTATTACTCCAGACCCCCTTAAAGTTACCAATGTGCAGCAAAGAGAACATCACCTGACACTCACTGCACAGGAGACCAGGTCAAACCTGTTCTTCAAACAAGCACAAATCTTATGATGCACATCTTGAGGCATGCAAGGGAAATTTAGAGACTGAGCTCACCCTGGCACCAGCTCAACTGGTGAACTGGTAAAAAGCCTGCCACGCCAGTCTGGCCTGACCTTCACCTGCACTGCTACCATTGCCTAAGAGGTGATGAATAGGCATTTTCTTTATAGATCCGGAGATCGCATCTACTTTCTGGAAGCATCTGGACACAAACACCAGTCTGAGTATGAATTCCACAGCAGAGAAGCCTGAATATAAAAGCCTATTAGATTTTACAATAAAACTCATTTCCTTGACAGACAATTGACAAAAACACCAGTGAGCAAGGTCTCCTGTACCTGAAGGGAGCCTACAAGAAGGACAGGGAGAGACTGTAAGGGCCTGGTGTGACAGTGACCCATGAAGACTGTGCTATACCTAGGCCTGCCTGTGCTCCTGGCACTTCTCGTGCATTTTGACTTTCTGATCAGAAATCCCCACGTGGCCAAACCTTTGGGTCTGGCAAAACGGTGTTTACTGCAGAATGGATGCGATGGTCACTCAGAATGGCCCAGAGCAGGAGCCAGCTTGTAACTGGTGAAACTCAGTGACACCAGCTGAGGCACACGGTCCAGCTAACACACTTACTTGCTGGGAGTACAGATACTCAAACAGCTGCTGGCTCAATGCCACCTTTAACAAAATTTATATGACAAAACCAGACAGCACAATGACCACTTGCCACATCTTAGCCCAAGTCTCCCAGTGTGGCACTTAATCAGCAGCAGCCTCTCAGAGTTTTCCTTCTGCATGCTGGAAATACCTTACTCAATGCAATAATGCCACAGTACGAAAGAGGAGTTTACAGAACTTCAGGCCAAGGTCCCTATATCCATTTTTAAAATGCAGAAATTCGAAATGCAATAATAAGCTGGGCAGGAGCTCAATCCTAAATCTTATAAAAGTACCTGGGGAACTTTAACAGCCATGAGCTTTCATTATTCATCTCAAATCTCCAAAGAAAGCAGGTGTCTTGATCTGCACCAGACCCAGCTGCACATGCAGTGCTTCCTTAGAAAGAAAACTGCCAAGACCCTGCAGCAGCTTATACTCATTTAGGGGGAAAAAAAATCTCCCACTACCATAGCTTTGCTACACTTCAGCTCATGACCTGTCACAGCAGTGTGCAAGAGAGAATGTCATCATATGTCATCCAGCACAGCATTTTGGACCACTGACTGCTCAGGAGGTAAAAACTACTGGTCTGCAGTGCCATTTCAGTATTTAGGTTTCAAAGGTGCTTTTGGATTCTTTTTACAGGACAGAAATAGATGTAATTTCTGTTCCAAAAGCATGACAGAAAATGCCCAAATGAGCATACTCAGTGTCACAGAAAGCCAAAAATACTGGATTAGAGGCTGCTTTTCTCCACCCATTAAGACAAAACCCTTGTAGTTGCCATACTGCATACATGCTATTGAATTACAGTAGCTGAATGTATGGTGTTACCTCTACTACAATTTGCAGAAAAATACTCATTTAGAATCAGTGTTAAATTCAAGGCTCACAGGACAGCCTTTCTGCTGGGAAACTTCAAAAGCCTCAAAAAAAAGTTAAGGAAAGCCGGTCTTTTCCAGCTGCTTCACATCTATAGGATGCTCTGCCTGGAATGAGGTAAAACTATGTCCTGTTTTGCAAAGCTATCAGTGGTGAACTAGGAAGGGGTGTCATGCTGCTTTTGGTGTTGAATTATGCTAAATCCAGTCTGACTCATCAACCCCGAAGTTAAACATCCTGACAGAGATGTGCCAAATATAGCTCGTTTTTATATAACTATATCTGGTTTGCCATCCCTAATCCTGTAGGACCAAACTGTACAAAGGTTCAATCACACCTCTACAATTCCTTAGACTTATTAAACCATTGACAAAGTCTGGGCTAAAACTGAATCCAGCTGCACCCAGACTCCTCTCTGAGAAAGAGTTTAAGAAGCAGGAGGGTCCTTCCTGCACCACGAAAGGGGCTTCTCTAATTAACTTTGTCTGAAGCTCCCATTCCACCCATGACAACAACTCTGCTTCAGACTGAGCTTTTGAGATGTGCGGCCAGATAGCTCAGAGACAGCAGGTCGGAAGCAGAGAGGAAGAATTCCCCTCAAAAGGGCAAGGAGAGGCTACAAGAGCTTCAGCAGGAGACCTGTCTACAGAATGAGATGGGCTGATTCCTCTAAAAGACAACATCAGGTATGAAGTATCAGTGAACCTGAGCTGCCAGAAGCACCGTACCTGAGTTATTCTCCATAACAGTGTAAATCAGTTTGCAAACTCTCAGCAGCAGCATGACTTTCTTTTCAGGTGAATACATCTTCTGCATAGTCATGAACTTGACTTTAATCTTTTCAATGTCCACAAAGTCTGGTGTTGGAACAAACACGCCCAGTTCCTGAGGATTCCTCTGCCGCACCAGCTGCAGGTTTTCCTTCAGTTGTTTCCAGGAACCATCCGTGGTATGAAACTCTTTCAACATCGCTTCAATGTGACCCTTCAACGGCTTCAGAATGCACTTATGCATGGCCTTCTCCAGCACAACATCTGCAATAGGAAAACACAAATCCAGCTGACTTCCCCCTCTACAGCACAGCCAGCACTAACACAACCATTCCCTAAAGAGACTCTGTACAGCAAAACCTACTTTCTAAGGCCCATTTATTACACAAGCTGAGTTTCCAGATGTCTGTTAATACGAAAAGAGGCAGAGAAGAATCTGTATTCCATTGTCATTTTTGGCACTGTGGTAAATAAAAAAACCTGCACCCACACAGACAGACTATGGACAGCTAAAAGAAAAAAAAAAAAAAAAAGCTGTGGGTCTAGTAAAGTTTTTCTTTCGTTGGTCAGAAGTCTGCAAGTTTTATTTTACTTTAAGTTTAGACTTTAACTCCCAAACTTCATGTAAAACACAGTAAAAATCGTAATTTTTGTCTCTTTTGGCATTAAAACCTGTCCTTTTTGCATAGTTTCCATTGGAAACTATAACTCAACAAAGATTTCCTAAAACTTGGCTCGACTTTGTCAGGATCTTTATGAAGCTGGACAGATTACAGGTTTTAACCTATAAATGAAAACCAAGCTGTGTTTGTCCAGCTTCAGATTTCATCACACAAGCTTATATACAGCTTTGTCATCAAGTTGGAAGTTCTTTGGCAATAGTGTGCACATGGCACAGTAACCACTAACTTCAGGGCTTATTTTTAATTCTTGTTCTGCTCCAGTTTTTCTTTAACCCTCGTTCTCCATTTTCAAAGTATGGACTGCGTCAACAGAGAAAGCACTTTGATAAATATTTTCTCTGCAAACCCTTAGTTTAAAACCTGATTGCCTTTCCCAGCATCCTTATGGCAACACAGCTTACATCAGTTATTAGATTACACTGATTATCTGCACCATGGTGAGGAATGTTCCTGTGCCATCCCTGCAGGAGAGTGGGGCAGGACCAGAGCCTAGAGCAGGCAGATGGACCAGAGGAGCAAAAGGACTGAGAGCAGACAGAGGAGAAGCCGTGTCACTGCCAGGTCACATGTTTACACAAATTAGCAGGGGACATTCTTATTAGCAACGGTGACTCTTCAAAGTTTTATTAAACCTCGTGCCCAGTTTCATTAAAACTCATGCCCGTCCCAGGTTCTTTGCCTGTACTTCTGTGTTCTTCTTAGTCTACAGCCTCTTTCTTTTCTCCCTACCCATTTTTTTTTTTTTTTTTTTATCACATACTATTTCTAAGGCTTGGGATTGACACCCATACCCACACACTCTCCAAACAAGCATTATTCCGTTTTCTTGCTTTTTTCCCTTCATTTATCTTATCCTTGTATCCAGGCCTTTCTCCTCTTGCGTCTCCATCCCTCTTACCCTTCACACACTCCCCCTCCTCCTGTGGTGCCTTGACTTCATATGTAGCATTTTTTCTGTGTTTTTCAGCAAAGGCACCAGAAAAGGTATGATCAGTCCGAGACATGTTATTGGTGGCCTCACACAGCAGCCAGGGCTGGATCCAGCTTCCCACCAGACCAGAGCCATCAATGAGCAACACTAGCAAGGGGCAACACTTCAAACAACTGATCCTTATCTACTGTACTTGGTAGAGCCACACAATCAGCACTAAACCAGCCACATAAATAGAAGCATCACCCTTCTGCACAGGGACAGAAACTGCCTCTCCCTGCCATCAAAGCAATCCTCAGGGCTCATGGGGCAGAAACAATTGCAAAACTATTTTCCACCAAGAAAAACGCATGTGTCTCACCCATGGATGGGTACGTTGGCTGAATTTCTGGAGTGTACAAATTGTTCCTTGCTATCTTCACTGATGACTATTTTTTTGACAATTCAGCTCACTTTATTTCTACCGCCTGTTTTTTTTTAAATAGGGAGAACACCAACCGCTTTGCTTGTAAGAGGAATACCTCTGCAGTGTGCATTCCCACCACCTGGTCTTGTTATTAAAGTAGTTGGTGCTGCTAAACATCATGCAAAGTGAGAGAGCTCTATCCCCGTGAAAGCTGAACACCCACAGGCTCCCACTGGACGTTCTGCACATGAATACCGAGCATGAGCCATTCTTTGTCTCAATAAAGAGGGGTCAACACCACATTTGCTCCCAGGAGCCTTGGGAAATGCAGTATGTTTCTGTATGTGACTGATCCTCCATAGGAAGAGGAGGCAGAAGCAGTGCCCCCCCAGATCCCACATGAACTGGATGCTGCTGGGAGAGAAAATTCCTCCCTGGAGCCCCAGTCCTTGGCTGGGGCCAGGCTCATCGTCTGTAGGTGAGAAGTGGAAGGCTTAGGGCTTCTGCCCTCAACCCTTCAAAAGGTAGTGCCACTTCCACATATGACCCATGCAGATTTTTACAGCTGCGCAAGCCAGCAAGGAGGTTTCTTTCACATTTGTAGTTTGTCACAGGCTCCAAAAGCTGTGCCTGGAAATTGCTTTGAAATTTACTTGATCACATTCCACAATTTCCACGGAAAATTGAAATAATTTTGAAGCAGCACAGACGAAGGGATGACAACTCCTGGCTGTGCTCAAAGCTCCACAAAGGCACAACAAAACAAAGGAAAACCACAACAAACAAAAAGCCACCAAACCCCACACCAAAAAAAACCCCAAAACAAAAACCCCACAAAAAAACCCCAAAACAGCACATAACCTTTTTTCCTCCTTAATGAAGTCTTGGCACACACATAAGAACCACTGAGTTCTGCCCTCAAATGAAAAAGTGGCAAAATCTAACAAGTTGGTGAGGCCAACAGCAGCAAGATTGATAAGGGCTGGATGGTTTTGTTAGTGGTCAACAGTAATACCTGTATATATCTTAATAAATACAAAGCTTACAAAAAATTTTATTATTATTAAAACCTGGTAGGACAGCACTTCCTGTGATCTGAGTCTTAGAACAATATTCAGTGTCATGGCACCTATGAGCATATTTGGGGCAAGAGCATGCAGCTGGTGACCCTGTCTTCAGCACTGCTGCTTCTGGCTGCTTTCAGATAAAGGTGTTTGTGGGTGAGATCCCACAAACCGGTTCTCAGCCAGCAGCAGTTTTCACTGTTCGACTTCTAATGGCCACAAAAAAGTATATGAGGGTTTCTAAGGCAAATCAGCATCTAAGTTGTGAGTGGAGGACTGATTCTTTACCTTAATATCTGTATATTTTTAAGATCCAAATCAGCAACAAAAATTCTGTTTACTTCAGAGGCATGTTTTCAAATATCCTCTCAGGATGCTTACAACTCCAAAACCAAAACAGACACTCCTCAGATAATTTTTTTTTTTTAAACTGAATATAATGTGAGCTGAACACTGTGTCTCGTTCCTGAAATGATGCTTATAATTAGCCTGTAGCCTCAAAATGGGAACTGGAAGTGCTTTGATAAATGAATTGTAAAGGCCAGCCAGCTAGTTTCGTTGTGACTTGTGAAAACACATCTGTATCCTGTGCTGACATGCTATTTTTGTTTTGCTGCCAAGCACACAAGTTTGCATCTAGACAGGACAACATATTAGTCATTGCCAGTGTCCTTACGCAGCCTCTTTACGACCCGCACTTCCGCAAATTGCAGGCACGCTCTCACCTTTTCCAGGATCTCAGTTTCCCCGCTCCCTACCAACTACTGTTGCTCCACTGAGATGACTGTCATATTCCAGGCCCTGGATTTACACTCGAGCCCTGTTTACCATGGTCAAACTGTTCATCAGGTAAATCATGGGTCAGTAGGAGCCTGAGTGAGCCCGAGAACCCCCACAAAAAGGCACAGTCCCGCACAAGTCACTGCCTAAGAGCTGAAAGCAGAAAGTTGCTTTGCAATACCACAGCATGTCTATGCATGACACCTAACTACACTGCATTTGCTTTATTGTGTATTCTCCTAATACCTTGTAAGTTCATTGACTGGCGTGACCAACACAGATCTATTTTAAGGTAAGTCGTGTCAGGATGGCCAAGCATCCAGTTCTTGGTGGGTGCAGACATGGCAATCTCCTCCACACGAGCAGGACTTGAAAGTAAGACCTCACACAACCCACATTCCTTGCTAATCAGCACATCCCTGAAACCAGAGGTGGGACTGAGGTGTTTGATGTACAGGCAATGGCAGCAGAGATTCAGCAAGTAGGAACGAAAGGTAAGCCTCCCCCATCTGACCTACACAAAAGCACACCAGAGAATCACAAAGCTATCTGTGCTAAGTGTGTTCTGCTTTATCCAGCTGTGGGTTACTTTAAACTCATGCTATAGCTGTGTGGTAAGCACTTGTGTTCTCTTGAAGGAGCAGGAAAGAAAAGAAGCAGGGAAAAAGTCACAAAGGAAATCCAAGGGACGGTCAGAAAAAGAACCTGGTCCCCTGCTTCTGCTCAGTGCTTTTATCTCTGCTTCCTACTTGCCCTGTCCTGTCACTCCTGTGGTAAAAGGAGGTGCACTGAGGGACTTACATTTAGTCATGTAAGACTAAACTCAGCATGAAAAGATGCTACAGTGAAGGACAGGACATCAGAACAAATGTAAAAGCACCTAAGAAGTAACACCGTGGAAAAACCAGCTGGCATGAGTTTTTCAAGCAGAAATAGTGACATATCATTCTAGTTCCTTTAGGAGAATAACTGGATTAGTGAAGAAGAGGGGATCTGGGGCAGGCTGCTGCCTAACCTTTTTAAGGCACATAGGCCTAATTCTGTGCACCTTCCATACAAAACAGACAAGGGGAATACTGTCTGGCCATAGTAACCAAAAGCACGGTGCATCGACAGGTGCATAGAATACTGCACTGAGAACCCAAGTATCCATGGCTGACTGCCAAACAAGACAGACCTTGGAAGAGAGGTACCATGGGGGTCAGTCCTGGGCTTCAGTTAATTAGTATGTCCAGCTCTGTCTGCCTGCAACTCCTCTGTACAGACCGAAGGCCCTGCAACAAGGCAAGGACTGCCAGGAAGGGGCCAACACATCCTCTCCAAGCTTCTTTAGCATTCAGCATTTAAATATCCCTATCATATTAGAAATACCAAAACAAGTATGGTATTGTTTTGGCACGTTCCCACATGATCAGTTAGCCCCTTACTTACACATGGTTTAAACCAGTTATTTCTTGGCCCAGGGCCGGATTCAGGCACTAAGACTGAAGTTGTTCAGACGTCAGATCCCACTCGGCAAAGTGACAACATTCAACTTGACTCTGTTTTGTTCAAAGCCAAGAAAAGACGAAAAGACAAACAAAAACTCCCAAACATAAACTCCCAAACATTTGCTGATCAAGCAGCTCTGGACTATCAGGGTCTCCTTGGACCAGTCCAGGTCTTTATTCTGTGGATACAAATTGAGGTGTGGATGTCTTTTAAAAAAATAAATTGCATTCATCCTTAAACAATAAAGAGCCATGTGCCTTACTCTTGATTCTGTCCCAACACTGGAAGTCTCATTGCTTCAGGGAGGCTTAACAACCTAAAGTGCTACGGTTAGGAGGCATCTGTCAGGACTGATTAGAAACCCTGAAGCCTATTTTCCCAATGGTTTTGCAGAAATTTAACTATTTGATGGGACCCTTATCTGGGAAGCTTAAAAGATCTGCTGCAGAAGTCCTCTGCTTGTGGGAGTTCATGACACAGTACTAGAAGAAAAGCTACGTGATGAAAAATATCATTACGGAGACATGGGAAGACGTTCCAAACACCGAGGGCTTCACTAAGCCTGGGGGTGCTGTTCCAGCACCTAATGAAGTTCAGGGAACAAAAGAGGGTTAAAGCAAAGCCTGAATGACTCAGAAAGGAGGAGTATTGTCCCAGAAGCACACATCCAGCACCAGGCTGACACGTTGGAGGAAAAATCTGCGCCACGGAAGTGTGAACTGACGAGAGAGGATAAATCACTACTCACAAGGTTAAAATCTGGGCTGCAATTCCGTATTGAAATAGTCAAGGAAAACTGTGGACAACAGGCAGGGCTCCGCTTCATAAAAAGCTGTCCACAGGGATGACTAAATTTTGCTGTCACATTGTTATCTGCTTAGATCAGCAACATCTGATGTTCCTGATCCACTGCAGTTGTTTGCTGGCTCAAGCCAAAGGCAGCAGATGATTCAAAAGCGAGTTCTTTCTTTGTTTAAACCAGCGCACTTTATAAATTAATTGTGTTTAGTCACATGATCAAAACCAGACTTTCTGCCGCTGAAGAAAACCAGGGCAGTTTTAGTTGTTATATTTTTCATACCTTGTGCTACTCCAAAGTCTGAAACATTTAATAGCAGACAACATTTTTTCCAGTCTTGGAACAGTCCTGGGAGACCCACAGACCGATTAAACCACACCCTTGTGAAACAAAAAGTACATAACAAACTAGGCTTTCAGAATATTACAACCAAACTCGATCTGTATTGCTTTGTCAAATATCCAGCACTCTACAGAAAAGCAGGCAAAAATGTGCCACATCCCCTGCTTGATTTGGTGCCTTTTCTTCCATGTAACGCCCACCTAACAGACTTCATTATTCTAGTGAGAATATTACATGTCTCTGAGTCTCAATACTGGGGACACCTTTCACATTTTTGTATTTGCTTTAGCAGTCCTCGTGACTTTTGCTTGACTTTGTGTAAGGAGGTTACGTGAGAATACCTCCTCTTGGTCAAGGACAGAGAGAATGTCAATACAAAATTACCCTCTAGTCTCAGAGAAAGAAGTATCTGCCAGTTTTGCACTGAGCCAACTGTTGAGACACTGGGGTATGGAGAAAAACAAGCAAATTAGAACTGAAGTGAGCTCACAAGGAAAATATTCTGCCCTGAGGCGTGTTTACCTCTTAAATGTGGCTTACAGGCTCTTTCACAAATACTGCTCAGACTCTGCAAGAGAGGCATCAAGATTTATGTAGCAACAGTGATTTCACTTTTTTGGATACACAAATCTCTCTCTCCTGTTAAAAGATATGTTCTAACATACAGCTCATCTATAACCACTTACAAACACATCTAACAGAGAAGTACAGAAAACCAGAGATCAGCAGTCCCTTCTCTTGCACACGTTTGATTTCTAAAACACATATATTTTTATTTCGTTTCCAATGCAGGGATAGTACAGCTTTGCTAGAAGTGACTAAGAATGTCTGTAGGAATCAGATTAATTTCAAAACAAAGTTGCCATAAAATGTCTCTCCGCTCTTAAATGTCACTGGTTTTGAATAAATTCTAGTTCTACAGCTACAATCCATACAGTTAGGTTTGGACCAAACATTGAGATATGTCCACCCAATTCAGAGAAAAATACATGTGTCCCAGCAAATAAAGGATTCTCTATTGTTAACAGTACAGCAGGTAAAAAAGTAATAATTACAGGTAAAAAGTCCACATTGCACCTATTTTAAGGTTCATACTTCTTATGAACAACTTCAAGTAGTGTAATCATTCCAAGCTGACAGGGTGATTTGGGGTGGGAAGGGAAGGGGGAGGTTGTTTTTAAGACTCAAATACTCAGTGGCTCAAGCTCTACTAGCCAAGCTAGCCCCACCTTTTTGAACTTGACAAAGACTATCACTATGAACACAGATTACACATTTTCACCTTCCCCCCAAAACACAGGACAGTGTTTCTTACCTATTTGGTCTTCTGGAATCAGTGATTCAATTGGGGGATCAAGTTCGGAACTTTGGGACAAATAGTTCTTGACTTGGGTCATGAACTGACGAATTGTTTGCAGCATATCAGTACTCGAAACATGGCACTCCTTGTTTTCTTGGAGAAAGCTGACATAGTCCTGTACTAAGCACCCAAAATAGGTGCGTTTGTCCCGGGACATCTCTGCAATTTTCTTAATCATCCTCTTCTCGGGGGTCATGAAGGAACTGAAAACTCCGCTGACTTTCCGTAGCTGAGATTTCACAATCTTGGGGAGAACAAACGAACTGCTTCTTTTCTTCTTGGGCTTCAAAGGGGGTGCCATGCTCTCCTGGTCACTTTCCCCCTCAAAGTCCTCCAGGCTGCTGTTGGTGTCCCCCTCATAGCCGAAGAGTGGCATGCTCCGATCGAAGTCCAGCGAGTCAGACGAGGAGGTGGAAATGCTCATGTCGCTCAGTCTCTGCCGGCCTCCATTCCACGGGATGTGTGACTCAGAGATGGCAGCCGGCGTCTTTCTGGGAGCTGCTGGAGCCGGCTCAGGCAGGGTTTCACCTGGAATGGCAGCTGCCTCGGGCACACGCACGGAGCCAGGCCGGAGCGGCACCGCACTCCTGGAGGCACCGTCTGCCTCGGAGCACACAGCCTGCTTCTTCAGCCGAGGAGGCGGTATTGGGGTGGGCTTGTTCTGCAGCAAATCCAAGCCTCTCTCCTTCTTATGGTTGACTGTTTCTGGCATGCTCGCCTGCTTTATAGTCCTGGAAATCTGTGGGCTCGTGAGGCTGCTATTAATAGCAGGAGGTGGCGGCCGGGGCGGGGGGGAGCGAGGCCTCGCTGTGCCATTCACGTCTGGAGTTCTCGGGCTCTGCCTTTTCAGACTTCCACTGACATCCTGGCTGTGCACTTTCAAGAAGAGGGGATTAATGAAACACAGCGCTCCGTTGGTCTGGCTGCACTCCAGCTCTGAAGGCGTTCTGGTTCGTATAGAATGCACTCCATTTATAAGGCAGAGCTGGCGTGAGTTTTTCTGAGCACTGTCCAAAGGCACAGGCCTACAGGGAGGTGAAGGATCCGGGGGTTTGCTGTTAGCCAGGGAGCTCCAAAAGTCTGAAAATCATCATTGCATTAATGTAAGAATGCAAAACAGCATGCAGATGGCTTTCAGAACATTCAGCTCAACATCAGTTTAAATAAAGTATCAAGAAATTTAGGCAAGATTTTATTAACTCAAAGGGGGAAAAAATCCACGTGAACCTCTTAAAGCACCACACCAAACATAACTGCATGCTACATTCCTGGGGCTGCTGTTACTCATTTATAAATACTATGGCCAATTCATATCTTCCAATCATCCCACTAAACTTAAAATTAAACTGAGAATCAAAGAAATGAATGGAGACTGTAACAGAATACTTTATACGGCTTGAGACTGAAAGTGAGGCTGAATTAAAATTGAGACTTTGAAACACAAACTGCTCACCAGCATCTCACTCAGGAGGAAAAAAGCAAGATTCTCAGCTGGTATTAGTAAGCTCACTTCATTGAAGACAACAGTTACATTTATTTACACCACCTAAAGGCCACTTATGGCACCTCTACAAGTATCTTGGTTTGGTTTCTTTTCACAGCAAACACGTTACACTATACATGAGAAGGCAGCAGCTCACACTTTGCCGTGGTGGGTGCACACATCACCTTTAGCTATGCAGACCGAGCATTCAAGTGTCTATTAAGGGCACTGGCCTGCTGCTCTGCCTTTGCCGTGGGGACAGCTTGCCTGAGAATGCAGACATGCAGCGACACATAAACAGACCCAGGGTGAAGTCCACATCAGCATCATGGAAAACTGATGCTACACCAGCAAGTTGCAGCTGCAGCCTCTGCACTTATCCCAGCAAAGCATCAGCATGTTTGTGCAGCCGAGTCACTGCTGAAGAGCATCGGTTTCTGAAGGTATAAAGATTGAAACCAGATGCCCTTGGAAGGCAGCAATCATGCTGAAATAAGGGAAGAATTGCAGAGGAGCGAGATTTAGCTAAAATTTGCCAATCTTGGTCCTTTTCCCATAGTGTGTCAAGACGGCTCACTGGAGGCCACTGAGCAATGACACCTGGGCCCAAGTGCACAAATGCCAAGCATCCACAACAGGTCCATGGCCAACAACTGTGTCCTGCCTGTGGGGCAGAAGACAGGAAACAGCCCATGGTGACAGGCCATGGCCAGAGAATGTCTATAGGCATAGGCATGTCTCTTTACATAGTCATGCCATGTTGCTGGTGTTCCCAGCTTCATGACTTCACATCCTGCCTGCAGATCTCCCAGGGCCTGTGCCTGGCACGTGGCTTCTGCAAACACATGTGATGTAAGCACTGCTGCAGGTGCTGCTGCAAGGGAGACAGAGAGAATCATATGTTCAGCACACGAAACCTTGCAGGTTGGCAACAGCCTTGAAGTCTATACTGAAAGCTCCTCCTGATGTGGTTTGCTGGGCTACATGCTGTTGACTTGTGTTGTGCAGCTCTGCCTCTGAGACTACTGCACAAGAGAGCTCTGACAGGAGATACAGCCCTGTGTTCACACACCATGGGGTTTTGTGCCTCCATGCTCCTCAAAAATAACTCACATTTAACAGAAAGGGCTGTTGGGAGTTTTTAGGCCTCTCTTGAGTGCACAGCATTGAAAGGCTGACTTTCTGGTGTGCTCCTCTGCACACAGACACCTAAAACTCCATCAAAATCTCAACTTTGTTGCCTCCTTTTAGCTCATGGACACTGTGATTTTAATCTGGTGTATATCAGGTAATTGATCCCAAATACAGCAACCACACAGACACTGATCCATCCATCTCCTCATCAGCTTTCAAACATAGTAGCTAAAGAAAAAAACATACACAATGCAGAGACTGGTCAAGAGCAAGACTAATTCTGCAGCAAGTAGGCCACAGTGCTCTGGGTACTGGTGACAAAGCGTAGTTAGCCTGGAGAAATTGATCAATATTACCATTATCATCCTCTCTGGAGAGACTCACCTCATGTTACTTTAAGGCTTCCATATGTCACTGGCAGACTGTCCTCATTACACTCTATGCCAGTCAGACCTTTTACTTTCTTTTTGCCATCTAAACATTGACCTCAATAGTACATTTGAATCTATTCCCATGATGATCCATAGTTTCACCTGATTACCTAAACTTGCAGACAAGCAGTGCAGAAGAAATTTCTCTCCTCTCTAAAACAAACCCTTTCTTTAATTACATGGCTCCTGCAGCAAACAAAAATGCAAAGCACTGTGACACATCCCGGCTATGGCTTTACTGCAAAGTCCCACCAGACAGTTCAAGAGATCCTCATGCTAACACTGATTTAGAGAGGATCCTTTTCAAAACCAAAGATGATTAAAAAATCTACTGCAACAAAGACTGCTGACAGTCAACCTTCCCTTCCTGGAGAAGGAAATGAGGCCACTCAGCACTTTGCTCAATGTGGAGTTAGTTGCTCAATGATTCATATGGGTGTTGCCCAAGTTTCAAATCCCACCAGTCTTTGCAACCATCTCCTCTGAGCTCAAGGTATGCTTTACAATGAGCCTGTACTCGGCTGCAGCAGCCAAGCGATGCAAGGACATGTCCTTGCATTGTGTTTTGGTATTTTAAAAATTTTGCCTAACCCCTGCCCATGGATACATTCTACATATCCTATATACACACTGCTCATTTTCTAAATATGCCACTTCATTGAGGCACTGATCTCAAAATTCACTATTTTAAGTTTGCATGTCAATCTGAACAGAAGTTTTATTAACAGGGGTCCTCAGTTCCTGCACTCTCCTCACAATAAATTATAAAGCCGGTGCCCGCTATGTGAGCATGCAGACAGTGTTAGGTCTTGGAGCAGAAGCCACATCAACCTCTGTGTGGGGACACTGAGTTTTGCTTTGCCCAAGGGCTGCCCAGAGAGGGGAGAGAAGAAAGAAGAAAGAGGGAGCACTAACAAAAATATCACAGAAAGCACAGAAGAAAGGAAGAGCACCAACCCTTGTCCAGAAGAAGGTCTGGCCTTCCCAAATAAGAGAAACTGCTTTGCTAAACTAAATTTGTATCATCACTAACCAAGACAAACTATTTACTGATATAGCCTATTTTTCCAACGTTACAGGAGTGCTACAGGGAAGGACATCTATGTTGAGAACTACTTACTCAGTCCAAGCTGAGCAATCTCTTCAAGTTCAGCTTCTGTCTTTGCTGCAGCAATTGCATGAGGCAACTTCAGTGTGAATGGAAGGACATCCCTGTTTTGAAAGAGAAAAACCATTATGTTTTCCAGCAACATTCATAGTTTTAAAAGTTGGGGTTTTTCTCAGCACTGGCAGTGGCTGCTCTCTGTCATATTCTATGTATCTGACATTTTTCCATTATGCTCCAAAAATTCTTTTCACCAGCAATTCCAAGAAATGGACTTTGCAAGCTAGCTTATGATTGCTTTTAAATGGGCTACCGAGCACTTAAGAAAGCATCACAGGATATTAGCTAAAGTAAAGTTCAGTTTGGCACCACTTCACAGTTGGGTGGGTAAAATCATAGCAACCTCTCAATAATCAGAATGAAGTAAGACAGAGACACTCACTTCCAAGACTCCCCTGGATTTCTACCATTACCTTCTAAGGCTACCCAGGAATATTTGCAGATTGGCAACATAAATATCATGCTGAGCCACGTCCTCAACACTCATTTTCTGGAGACAGTCTAGCAGATATGACTTGGGGCTCAGCATCATCTTACCTGCTAATACAGTAGAAAGCAATGAGTCTGAACAAATCAGCAAAACTTATCCCAGACCCCTCCAAGGAAAACGCTGCAAAGAAAGTTACAAGAAAGTTACAAGAAAGAATCACATATAAATCCACTGTTTCTTAAAACAGTTTGATAAAACACATCTTAGGTTTTAGCATGAAGTTAATAAGTTTTCACCATCAAGCTAGCTACTATTTGGTTGAGAGAAAATAACTCTGTAGAGGAGTACATATCCCTGCTGAAGGCATTTTCAAGGATCTACTGACAATCTTGGTGGCTGGTTTGCTGTTGTGCTCCAAGCATATGGTCTAATTCCTTGTAAAACAGGTGAAGTGTGATGAGGCCTGCACAATGTTTTGCTAATAGACAACAAATCAATAACTGAGGCTTCGTTTGTCCAGTGTACTAATATGCCTAATTTTAAATCTCTCATTTCCTCTTCTTGAATTCTATTCTACTCGTCCTCACCCTAGGCGTGTAGAGCCAAAAGGGAGATAAATTTTCATTCACTCCAAGAAAACATTTTAACCTGAAAACCACTGAAAAACTCAGACAGTTCTGTTGCATGCCATTGACTTGCACAAAGGGAGAGGAAGGAAGACACGGGCACTGCCTTTCATTTTTCCCCACATGACATCACTGTTTCTTACTGATACAAATGCCTGCTCTCAGTCGTAATGACGATTATTACTCAGGCTCTCTCTGATGGCAGTAGCAAATCTCACCCAATGACTACACAGGATAAGCAGAAGCAGCTCCTAGAGTGAAATGATCCAGATCTTTTGCCTCTGGTCTAAAACCTCAGCTACGACACATGGCTAAAACCACCAGTAAATACTTCCCCCTTGTGGAAGAACGTTGTTCATAAAAGACAGTATATAATTATTTTCTAGATGGGAATTTATTAGTATAACAAGCCTATAAACACAGCCTTAGACCACACTTAGATCAACTATTAATGACAATTTTCTCTTCTCTTTGCCTTGCCTTGCTTGTAAATGGAACTAAAACCAGACACAGAGAATTAACTTTTTGTTCCTGGGTGCAGGGGAGGGAGAGATAAAAAAAGGAAAAAACTCAATATCAGTTTACAAACAGAAATAGAAATTAACTATAGACTCTGTTTCAGGGATGTTTAACTGAAATTGTTGCTAATTTTCTCCCATTTTAAAATTAAAATTAAATAATAAAATGAAAAAAATTAAATATTTGCTCCACTTGCAGTTTCAGCACCACATACACTCACCAGCTGCAGCTTCCTTTTTTCATTCCTAAATCTTAAACTTATTTTTCACACCCTCCCTTCTAAAGATATGAGGGCATAATTGGTTCAAAACAATTTGGAGCGCTAACATTTCTACTAAAAAAAGAAAGAACAAATATAGTTTGAATTAAAAAGAGAAAAAAAATTGATCTTGCAACAGAAACAGTTCTAAAGGGCTAAAATCCATTTAGTTATTACACAAAAAAACAAAACAAAACAAAAACCCAAACAAACCAACAACAAAAACCACCACCAACAAAACCAAACCAAACAACCCATCCCACACCTAAACTGCAGACAGAGAGAGCTCATGACAGAGTTGCTTCCAAGAACAAGGATGAGCACAAGGAAATGCAAAGACATTTCATTGAAAGCAGACAGGATTAAAGACTGTTTCTACAAAAGACATGTAAGTTTCTAAGAGGATAACTACCCATAAAAAGAAATTAATCCTGGATTCAGTAAGGTACACAATGGAAATATTCCACTTGCAGCAACCTTAAGTGTTTCTATATGTCTCCTCTCCTCATGGCAGAATATGCCTGACCCACTCCCAGAGCCCACCTCAGAGAGCAGTACAGGCAGCCCATGACATTACTTGCACGACTTTGGGTACCCTCTGCTGTGTGTTTCAGCAGTGTGAATGCTCCTGCATCCCACAGGGAAAAGGTATCTCACGAACAGCTGAGAAGTAGTATGTAACTCACAACTTACTGTATGTACTTTCTTTTATGGCAAATTCTTTCAGGCAGGCCCCACAGTCACCAGAGAGGCGCAGAGAGATGACTTTCTTCTGCAGCCTTGCGGATTTCCTAACCAGAAATATCTGTTGTGGAGAAGGCAGAAGGACATGATTTTAGCTTCATCACAGATGCCAGAATAAATACAGATCACATACAAAAAGGAACCAGAACAACCTCATGATGTCTGCTCTAAAACATACCATAATTTTACTTGGTCATTACTGTATTGGTTCCAACACCATTGGGTGTAAAATGGCAGCACAACATTTGGGAAAAGCATGTCCTCACAGAAACTGAGATTCTTCTTACCCCAGGAGGCTGTCTCTGCAAAATTTCCATGGCTTCAGTATCACTCAGACCAAGCTGCAGCCACACAGGGTGAGTATGGAGGAGCTTGTCCAATATGCTTAGTTTGTTGGATAGGCTGTCATATCCAGAGTCCCGGGGGCAGCTTTTTACATCATTTTTCTCAGGAGAGACATTATCCATGTCCTTTATAAGACTGTGGAAAATACAGAAAAAAAAATTAGACATGCTAGCCTCCTAGGAACAATCACTCAGATCAGTGAATAGAATTATCACAAAGCTCATGGTACTGCTAACACTCTGGGCTGGTACTTCTCCTACTGAGAATTCTTATATTCAGCAAACACAAAGATTCTCTTTAAAGGTTCACAGTTCAAAGCCAGCTTCAAGATAAGACTTAGCATTCTTCTGTGAGGTGGGAGAAATTCAGCCATCACTTCAGGTACTGTTGTATGTGCTGATGTGATTAACTGAACATTTTGCTTGCCTTCTTTGCTGTGCTAACATACAGAAAAACTTCTCTTCAAGGAGACTAATGCAATTCAGACATTTCTACTCCCAGATCGATTGCAAATGCTGCAACCCACAGAAATCTTGCTCTCTCCTGCCTGCCAGAAAAATCTGTTCAATACTCTGACAATGGAGCGACCCACGACCTATTGGTGATCGCTGCACCAGACACAAGAACTTTGTCTGTTTGGAGAGATTATTTTCACAACACAACTCCACAAACCAGCATCACTTCACCTTATGCCCAGACTACCGTCTCTGCTCCAGCAGCTCTGCTGCCTTCACAGCTGCATATCCATCTTTGCTCCCCTCAGCTAAGAGGTCAGAGTGAGAAGTGAGATGAAGTGAAAAAAAGATGAGAAACCCAAAAAAGAAACAAGAAAAAAAAATGATAAACTCCCAAATAACCCTCCCTAAGGCACAGCTTCCTTAAAAAATCTAAGTTGCAGTCACTTCTTATTGTACTCCTGCTAAGTTCTGTAAATATTTATATTTTTTCCATTTTGTCATGAAAGGTCCTTACCTTGCATTTTAATACAACACTTCCCAGGATCAGAAACAAGTAAGGAATTGTATATTTACGCTCCAGATTCCTTTGGCTGTGGATTGACTGCTATGTGAGAAATAAAGGCTAAGCAAAGTGTGAATGCTGCAAAGTAATGTAAGGTTAAAATTTATTTGGGGCAGGGCATCTAAAGTTACTTCTACATTCAGCGATGACGTAGAGTTCTTGGAGGCTACAGATTCTTGTTATTAAAAATCCAAATAAACAGAATACTTTGAGAACTCCTTTTGTTATGCAAAGCTTCACCTCCATCCATATAATACAGAACACCCAGTACAAGTGCACGTGTTGCTGACTCAAATTTCTCATTTTTGAGCTAGAAGTACATCCTGTGATTCTCCCCATGCCAGAAATCACTATGGAGCAGCTACTCTGGTAACAGCCTCCTGATGACAAAATTTAGGAACAGACAAAAAGCTCCCTGAGATGTCAGGCAGAGGATGTGTTCCACTTACAGACTTTGCTGTGGCAGGAGAGGCCCTTGGCGGCAGAGGGCAACACAGCTCCACCTCCCCACTGCACACTGTGCATCTCTTCTGAATTCTGTGCTTTTGGACAGGTCCTAAGCATCACTAACAGCATCTACCATCTTCATTAAGCCAGCTACTCTACCCTCAGCAAGTGGGTACAGAGTTCATAAGCACAGGAGCACTGAATACTTAAAAAACAAACAAAAAGCCTCTCTGCCCCCCTGCAAAAAAACACCCACACCAAAGAAAACAAGCCAAACCAAATTAAAACCCATCAACCAAACAACAGAAAAAACCAAAATTACCAAACTGCTTTCTTCTAGCTTGGCTCAGCAACATCTCTGGAGAGGGCAAGCAAGATGGGGAAGAGAACTTTCACCGTATGATCAGATAAGAACAGGCAAAATCATTTGACTTCTCATTACCTGGATCAATTACCACTACCAGCATTTGCCTCTTTCTTTTTTCTTTGTTCTGTTTACTTATTTATGATGTGATGCTTTTCAGATTTCCAAGGCATCTCAAATGCAGATGATTTCCACCACCCCACCACTCCCACCCCCTCAAGCATCAGAAGCTTTTATGAACTGCCAGTACATCTTCAGGGGGCACAAAATACACAGAAACACATTGAGTGCAGGTGGGAAGTACCTTTTACATTAGTCACAACTGGGTCTGAAACTGTCTCAGTAGGAATATTAGGTTCCCTCTTCAACCAGTTCCAGCAGAGACTAGTGTTGCAATGGATGAATCTCCAAAAGTCAGATCATGAACCACAAAAGTGTTTTTCTGAGCTGTACCTCCAGTAAATATTGCTCAGAAATTTCCCACTCATCCTCAGTGCCAGTTAGCTGCACTACAAACCGAAGGGAGCTGTGGCAAAGAGCAAGTTACACAGCAATGCTGGCTACAAGCTTAGACAGATATAAATAATTTCCACTCCCCTTGGCCAGGAGGTGAAAATGAAATATGCTGCAGGGGGAATATGTCCAAGGGGAAAAAGTTTTTTGTCTACTAAAGACAGGTACCTCACCTTCAAAAGAAGGTGTGTGACTGGTACTACATTCTAGCAGTACCTAGAGCTGGAATGCCTAGCATTGCTTGCTACCACAAAACCACCTAAAGCAGGCAAGAGTTTGCACAGGCACGTAGGGTCACAATGTTCCTCTTTGGTATGACTGGTTTCATGTTGTCCCACACCCCCTAGACCACCATAAATCAGCAGACTAATTTGAAAAGGGAGTGATCAGGTTTTTGGAACCTCCAGGTACTTATGTGTGCAATCCCTACCGCATGCTGAGATCCAAGGAGGAAGCTCTCTGACCTACATACATGGGCACCTCCTTGCTGCAGCTACTTCTGCTCCCTCAAGAAATAAGCCAAAGATTATGAATATCTGATCATGATCAGAATTTCTGCCACTCCTAAACACTAATGGTTCAAACAACACCAATGCAATTCAGCTAAATCAGCACCAGAATTAGCTATTGCAATCCGTGGTGAGGTACACAGGAATAAGAAACTTTTAAAAAGTTAATTCCTATTCCCAAATAATAAAGAAGGAGGCAGAGAGAAAGATCTATCCTGGTGAACTCTGGAAAAAGCATACCTCGGAAAAACCACACCTGGCAAACCACATACAACCTATGAGAGGCCACTTCCCAAGGCCTGGGAGTAAATGCAGTAAAAAGCCCCACTGGTGTGTTTTGACAGCCTATTTGCAGTGGTCTAGCACTACAGAGCATCATATTCCCAGTTTTCTTTTTTATTCTTAAAATAATTTTAATTAATGATCTGGGCATTAGACATAAAAGTCAAACCCCTGACACATGGGAGTTCTCAAAACTTGTTATGTATTAAGAGTTAGACTAAAATTACTTGGGACTGGGATGAGTGTAATGACTTTGGAAACAATTGCATGGAAAGAATAACCATTTGAATCCATGAGCAACGGACTAACTCAAGTGTACTGAACAAGAACAAGAAGTTGCTGTAACCTAAATGCTAGCAAATTATGTTGTATATTATGCAACAACTAAATCCCTCTCCTGGTTTTACTTTCGTTTGGAGGATGTTTGGTTGCTTGGTTTGCGCTACTTGTTCGGGATTTTGAAAAAAAAAAAAATATTCCTGATAAAAGACAATCTGACCAGGTCACATTAAATTTAAAATCAAAACACAAATCAGCCTTAATGGATGGTCTGCTTCAATTGAGGGCTGCTACACGGTTCCTCTTCTGTGGGAAAGGTAGGTTTCAACACTACTCACGATGAAACTAAAGAAAACACATGATTCATGCAAGTTTCCTTAGAATTGAGAAAACTCATAAACACGTGGGAAGTACAGAGAGCTAATTGCCAAGATAAACAATGCCGTGCTGCATCCTGATTAGACTCAGCTCACAGTAAAAAAGACAAGTAACAGGCTGAAGCTTGTAACCAGGATGATCCTTGGTCATGGTGTGAACCTTGCTCCAGTCCCACCAAAGCTAACCACCTCACAGTTAACTCAGTTTGACTATCCACTGCAAAAGGTCTGGATTTCTGTAAATCACGAGCTCATAATCACCACAGCCCAGGCTATACAGTCATACTGAGCATCAGCTGGGAGGGGCAGAGAGCCACCGGTACCCTCCTGCTGTATCCCATTACAACTACAAGAACAAGACAAGGTAGCTGGGAAGAAGTTTTCTGGATACTTGCCTACCAGTCAGCAATAACAGAAGTGGTTCTCTGTGCAGGACAGAAGATGGCTCTGCTGAAGTGAGTAACTGCTGTGGGAAAGACAGTAGCATGAGGGCTGTGCAGTGCAGGACACAAGGCAGGGAGCAAAGCTCTGCCCCTGTTCCTTCCATGGGAAGAGAGCAGGAAGGGAATAAGCTGCTGCAGCTGCCACCACCAGCAAAACATTCCTGAACCATTCCACAGGCACCGAGCACCCCGGGAAGCCTGCAGCTTTACAGCCTTCCCTCCAGAAGGACAGCAGGAAGCATCATCCCCTCACGGACACTCACACAGACGTGCAGGGGGGCTGGGGACTCCTAAAAGATCATCCAGGTGCATCCAGGTGCCACCAGTCCCGTCCCACATGCTCCTGCTGTTGCATGCAGAAGCTCTCTCGTCACTCTTCCAAAGGTCACTGGAACGGCAGGACAGAAATCTGTCCTACAAATTCCATTTTCTGACAACTCTGCTCAATTGCATTATTGAGATAAGTGTCTGGACTGGGAAAAAGGTCAGGCATCAAAAAAATGGGATACTGAAACACTCCCCCTTAAAACACATATTTGCAAGCCTTTTTGGTTTTTTTCCTGGGGTTTTACATACTTACAAGCTAAAGTGGTAAGCCCTTGAATCATTCTTGATATTACTTGGGCCATATATATTAAAAGGAAAGATGAGCCCAAAGTAAAGGAGTATATAAGGTGGAGTACAAATCTGAAAGTCACCACATAACCACACAAAAAACCCCACACTACAGTACTAAGGTTGCCACAATTTCATGTCCTTATTTTTCTGAATTCAGCCGAGAGCTCTGCAACTGCTGCCTTTCCAGAACTGCTCAGGGTGTCTGTGGATACCTGCTAAGGTGGAAAAAGAGCGAGGAGAACGGACATTCCATTGAGCTCAAATTTCCCTAGATGCAAATTCAAAGGTCATATCGAGACACCAACTTCCGAACAGCAGAGCATGCAATAAGAGCAGCAAACTACATTAATTGCTGAGTTTTAAATTAACTACAAAGAAATAAAGTTATGACAGTAAACACAGCCTTGTGAGGTGTCTAGTTTAAACAAGAACTCTGGAAAACCTTTGTTGAAATTACTATAATCTTGCTCTGTAGCTCTATATAAAAAGAAAAAGGTGTCAGTGTAAAACTAAATTGCATAATTTACACCAACTTTGATACAACTTCTTCCTTATATAGAAGCATCCAGCTCAGAATTTTGTAGTCACAGCAGGTTTGACTTTAGCTCATTAATTCAGACTTCATATTTCACATTATCATCTCGAAGTGAGAGAAAATAATTCTTTTTGATAACTACTATTACTTTTCATGGAAACTGCATTATTCACTTTTTAATGTTAGCTTTACTTACATATCTAAAACCAAAATATATTTTGCTGTCGAGATTAACAAATTGAGATTAAAAATTCATTCAATAATCAATAAAAAGAAAACTAATGATCTGTAAAATGGGGAGGTTTAGTTTACTGTTTCCAGCTAAGTGCTTCCACCAAGATTTCAGAATCGGTAGGTCTTATCCTTACATGCATATGATGTATTCAAAGATACAAGAAGCCTTTTCTTAACTGAAAAGTAGCTGATGAGCTCTGAAGTTAATTAGATGAATTCACAAAATGAAGAAAGTATCCTTTCTGCCCCTCTAAAAGAACTGTGTTCTCAAAAGGTTTAAAACTTGAATAAAGTTCAACCAGGGCCATAGCCAAGGACTTTAATTAGTTCAGCTGTCTTACATCCTTTTTTAATACTTGGGCAACAAAGCTGCTGCTTAATGTTTTTGAAAATAATCTACATATGCTTTGTAGTAAATTCTAGCAGATTTCAAGAGAATTCATAGGAAGAAAAAGAAGTAAAAATCTTGAATGTAATTCTAAAAGCAATTTTCCACTTCATTAACTCACTGCTAGAAGAACAAAACTCACCAGCTCCAGGGCTAGCCAAGGCTACGCAGACAGACAAAACACATCTACGTTGGTTGCCTTCCTCTTGCAACAAATATTTCAGGTAAGTATAAAAATGTGTTCTCTTGTTGACAAAATGACTAAAATATTGATTATCATCCAGATGTCAATTTAGTAGATGTTACTGTTCAAGAAAAGCCAAAATGCTGGGGTCTCATTCTGTCCACTTAAAGGTATAATTTCACTTCTTCTATGTGCAGGTTACTCATATATAAATTAACTTAAACACATAACCCACTTATGCATCAGCTCATAGCCGTCAATATTTTACTTCCCAACCTGAGAGCAGAAACAAATCATGTTATTGTGCCTTGAATCTTCAAAGAGCCACTTGAAGCAATGGACATTTTATCTTTCCAGTGTGAAAGCAAAGCAGTGCCACAGACAATGGTAATAATGTTAGTAGTTTCCTGCTTTAGACAGTCATCATTATCCAAGGTTTTTAACAAGGAAGTAGAAGTGAAGCTCAGTTGCAATTAGAAGACATTAAGGCAAATACACCAAACAACTGAATCTCCTGCACAAAGGCAAATTCCTTGGCTCAAGAGCAAGATTATCTACACCTCCTATGCTGCCAGGGAGCGACCATAAGTGACCCAAGAAGAAAGCAGAGTGAAAACATTCCTGTCGTGGCAGACCCTCCAGAATCATGAAAATAAACATTTTAATCACCTTTGCCAATCAGCAGGTTCATCTTCCACAGTGAGATCTGTCTGCACCATCTCCTGTTTCAGTTCTCCAATTTCTGAGGCAATTGTGTCAATGAGCTGGAAAGGGACAAAAATAGTATGACATCAAGTGAGTGGAAGAGGCGTGGAAAAGAAGCCGGGGCAAGCTTAGTCACCAGAGATTACAAACTTTTTCTTTTTTTTGTAAAATTTGGACTTCCCCTTGCAAAGGAACAAGTAAAGGTTGGGGCCATGTATAAAGGTTCTCAGAGGAAGAGTAATTCCTGTTTTTTGCCAGTACAAAACCTTACAGTTTGGCTAGCCTTCTAATTTAATGGATTAAATTTGCAGCCTCTGTGCATTATACATCATCTTACAAGAACTAAATTATTTAACTGTTCGTAGCATTTACCTTCTCATAAAAAAAAAAAAAAAAAAAAAAAAAAAAAAAAAAAATTAGAAGAATTCCATGTGCAAGACTTTTATTTCAGAAGGGACAGAAGAGACACCAAGCCAGCATTACAATACTGTGGAGGACAAAAAGCAAGGAAGCAAGAAGGGAGTGGGTGGCTGCTTTTCACATTAGGTTTTGGACTCCATTTGAACACAACAATTAAATTAAAAAAAGAATTGCCCTGCAACCCTTCAGCTCAGGTAGAACACCAACCTAATCCTGGGTACGAGGGCAAAAACTCATTTTAAGGTGGGCAAGATTAGCACTAAGGTTGTACCTCGAGAAACGCAGAATTTGCTATAGCAAGACTTCAGCAAAACACTTTGTTGAGCAGAAGCCAACCATGAAATTTGCAAAGCCTGTTTTCTTGAACACTTTGTGGCCAAAGTTTGTTTGTCACACCACACCATGACAGCCTATAAACCCTAGCAGGGTTCCCTCTCTCCGGCTGGGAGGGAACCTAATGAAAGGTGTGCAGTGATGTAGTGATCTCTACTACCACCCCTACACACCATAGCAAACAAAAACCCTGGCACAAGAAGCAAAAACAGCTTTGGGGTCCAAGTCAGAACAGTCTTCACAGCTGCCCTGAAGGAATGAGCCCAAGTCCCACTCAGGGCAGGCAACTCAGTACAGCAGCACTTTCAAAGGATTGTAGGCATCATTTTCCTTGTAAATTCTTACACTGGAAGTTTTCCTCCACCTCCAAGATTTTCAGCACTCTCCCTTTTGCTGAGCAGCATTATTCCAATCAATTCAAAAGTAGTTTTAGTCTCTACTTACAACTGACCAACTCCAATAAATACACCTTATGTAAGAACAAATTACTATTACCCATGTCCTAAGGGCTTTTTTCTGTCCAAGTCATAGCTCCCAGTGTTGGAAATTATACGAAGTTCAACATTTTTTAATATAAATTTAGTCAGGGGTTTTGTTTGCCTTTGCCCAGGGGAAAAGGAACTGAAGTTTCTTTTCAAAGAACTATTCCACAACTGAGGTCTGATGAGCTTAACATCTCAGCAGACTGGGATCAGCATGGAAGATACACAAAAGATAACAACCATTAAGGAAAATCAATTCCAAACATCAGCCCTGGCATGGTAGAGACTCCTGGTCTGGGAAGAGATAGATAAGAGAATGAAGACTGGGAAACTAATTAACATTAGAGGTGAATGGATCAATAACCAATAGGAAACCAAATACTAAGACCTTGGGACCAGTGAACATTGATCCAGTTAATTTCTCTGGGTTTTTTGACTGAATGCGAAAAATCTAATAAAGACTTGTGTGAGGGAATGATTTCCTCTGCACAACCAGGGCAATCAATGTGTGGATGACCTGGTTTCTGTTGAACATCCTGGCCAGAATAAACCCATGCCTTAATTCTCTAGCACTAAAGGTTGTTGTTGGAGAGTTTTTGTTTTGCCCGTAGTTTCGGTGACACCAGCCATGTGTACCACTGACCCCGCAAAGACGTTCCACCTGCTGATTCCCGAACACCCCTGAGTCACTGCAGCCAGATGCGAGCACTGCCTCCCTGGCTGTTCAGGGAGCATCTGGAGGAACCCAGGCCAGCCTCAGGGAGCAGCCAGAGTGGGGTGAATTTAAGGATTGCCAGCAAAGCACCTGTGCAAAGCTGCTTCAGCTGCATGACTGCATGAAAGCTGAGCTGCTACTCCCCATCAATCAATCAATCAGCTCTGTTCAAGGAGCTCCTCTTCATGGGCAGCATCACCTCAAGTCTGTGGCCATAAGGAGCCATCACACACAGCGGTGTGTCCTGTTCTCTGACACGTCTACAGAGACTGTGTCTCTCAGGCCAATAGTCTCCACAACAAAGGAGCTTCTCAGCACCTCTCCTTGCAAAGTACAATGTATGAGCTCTCCACAGAAGCGTCCATGTGTTTTCAGCCACCTCCTCCACACCTGCCTTGCTGGCAACTGAGTTAACTGTGTTAGTGGGCTTTGACCAGGGCTGTGACAAAACCCACCTCCCTCCCAGAAAACAGAATCTTGGGGCTAAAACTACAGCAAAGAACTCTCATCCAAAATGTAATAACAGTGAAGTAATTCTAATGCTTTTGAATTTGTATGCCTGCCCCAAAGAGAACTCTGCAGAAATTATCATTCCTGAGAGGAATTCTTCCATGTTTAGCAATTTTGCTTCTTTTTCTAAAGAGGACTTAAACAAAATGGCAAATCTCAAGCAACCTTATGCTCACATTCTGTTCTACAGACTAAATTTCTTGGGTGTACTACATAGCCTCCATGACAAGTCAGCCTTAGTCTCTGAGAAGTCAATACACTCTGGCCAAGGAAACCAGGTAAGTGTGGCATCAAACCCCAAACTGATCTGTGAAGTTCCCCAGGACAGAACACACACCACAACCCAACAAAGACTAATCACCTACCACCATGTACTCCACCTGAACTAAAACACTGACCTCTAGGAGGAAGCCTCTCATTTTTTTCTAGAACAAACCACTGATATTTTATGCAATTTCAAACTAATTTTCCTTAAAGTCTCTTTAATTGCTCTTCTCTTGATTTAAGAAAAGAAAGTCTTATGGAGTTGTATCATTTGTGCATCCTTGCAATTAACTGACACAAACTGTTACAATAGCATTTTTCTATCAAATAATATAAGGTGCACTCATGATTTTAAGGTGCAGCATTTCCCAATGTTTAGCATCAATTACACTTCTGATGATTACACAGCGCACGCAATGCACACATGACTAGCATCATACAAGATGAGCTGCTAATAACATGTTTCTACAAAACACAGGAAGGATCCTGGCTATGTACTATTACTAACTCCAGCCCTGGGAAAACATGCAGCAGCAGAAGGCTCTGCCTTTTTGGTGCAAGGCTAAGAATATTGGAATTCTTCAAAGAGACTTCTCTATTTGCAAGAAGTGTGGTAGCTCTTTGGCTGGAAATAATGGGAAAACTCACCCTTTTGTTTCAGTGGACTTAAAATCAACGTGGTAATTAGAAACTTCCAAAGGAAAATACAACTGAAGTGGATGTATACATTTGTCAGAGGCCACTGTTGGTGTAAAACAGCATACATAAGCCCAAAGACTTAAAAAGTAATCAGAAAAAATCTGTTGTGGGCTGTCTAGGTCTGTGAAATAGATATTACCCTGCTATGCTATAGAAAGAGGAGGTTTACCTGAAAAATGCATTGGGAAGCATGACATCTTCTCAGGTGGTTAATTAATCAGCATCTCTTAAAAATCAAAATTAAAATGAGATCTTATATAACATGATAAAATAGCTATTTTTTTTTTGTAATTATTTTCCTTTGTAATTTATTTCTGTTTACAATAAATATAAATTCATTGGGAATTTATTTCTCTATTTATATATAAAGCTCCGTTCTGTTAATTCAAAAGACACTACAGTATAACCACTGTAAACCCAAGTAATAATTATGACTCAGGCAACATGAATTCACATAGCAGCCCCATACAGTATTGCCCAACCAAATCAATCCTAAACATTAGATTGCCAAATACTCATGTACTAACTGTTTACATTCCTAACATCTATGAATGAAATAATGAAATGCAAACATCTTAAACTACAGTATTTCCTTTCATAACGCACCACAGTCTGCTTATTGTCAATTGATTCTGAGCTCAACAAGACTGAGCTCAGCTTTTGGGGACTGGCAAGGGTGACAGTGAAACTCCTACATACAGGCCACAAACATGGCGCCTCAGCACCCCGTCATTCTCTCACCACAACATCTACTTTTGCTTTGCATCATTCAGGATGTTGTACAAGCAGCAAAAATCAGAGCCAGTGTGTTCAGCAGAAGCAACTCACTCCTAAGGGGCTCCAGTCGCATTTGTGAAGCTGCTCTGTTGACACTCACATTACTGTCATGCATCAGGAAAAGCACGTGCCCAGTACCAGATATAGACAGTGCCTCTCCCAGAAGCCCAGCATAACTACAGCTCTTATTACTCACTTGACTTGAAGAGTTTCCTGTTCCCAAGAAGAAGACAGGTGGCTTTGATTTGATGTCTGTTCCCATTTTTAGAAAAAACCGTGTGACAACTGAATTCCTGCTTTTTGTGTTGAAATGTAAATAAGAGAATTAACGAAACTGCCCTCATTCTGAAAGCGCACTGAAAGAGTCAGCCAAGATGACCACTGCAGAATGTTTCCAAGCCCTGAGATTTACAAGAGCTCAAGAGGAAACAGTAAGATGGGTGCTTCTAATCTGGCAAGCGGACATAGGCTGAAGACAGCAAGATCAGTATCAGACTGGACAAATGAGCCTCAGCGCTTACCACTCCCCCTTCCTGCCAGCATCTCATTTTTCATTCTTTCTGGAGACCTGCATCCTCTTTGGCATCACATCTTTTCCTTCCTGTTTTGATAAGCAGAATGTAGCAACCCTCACAGAGGGCCCTGTGTGATGAGGTGGCCAAATGCCAGAGACAAGCCCGACCAGAACACTGCTTCTGGACTCGTGCAAGCCTCTGAACACAATCCAATATTTTGAGATACGGCTGCAGATTCTGGTTATTTTGCACAGTGAGCTATGAATTTGCAGGGCCACTGACATTGTTCAGCATCTTAGTCATTAGAAACAAAGTTATACCTGATGCTTGGTTTTGTAACAGAAAAGCTTTACTGGTGTAAAATCTCTGATGCCAGCTCAGTAAACACTGGAACATTTTGATGAGAAGGAGGATAATTCAGTAAAGAGGACATTTGTCAGAGACATATATTCAGCCCCTTGCCTTACCACAGATTCTCTCTGTAACCACTGGCAAGCTATTCAGTCCCAGAATTATCCAAGACTAGCCCCATTTTTCTTCATTCTTACTACTTGCTGGCTCTGAGCATTCAGCAATGACACGGTGTAGAGTGCACAGAATTTAGCCTCTAAAACTAGACTTCTGCTCTGTCTAAAAGGGGACAATACCGTTTTCCTTGTGTACTAACAGTCAAAAGAATGGCTGTGAAAAAAACTAAGAGATGGTCAGAAGCTGTAGCAATGAGAACTGCTGCAAGAGCCAGAAGAAAAAAAAAATATGAAGTTGGAATTTCCCACTGGTATTTTTGTCAGCGATTTTTCTGGCAAATGTTGCTGAGAATGGTAAGATACTCCCTTAAGAAGATTTAAGCACCCTGAGAATGTGCATGTGTGGTAAAGGTTTCTTAGGCAACTGCAACTTAACAAGCACAACATGAGAGCCATATGCAAGTACAGAGCACAGTCTGTGCATGGGGGAGAGCACTCTGAAGAACAGATCAGCAGGGATAAAAAGCCATATCTTGATTACTAGGTCTCAAACACAGACAGACAGGCAAATTAAAATAATTCAAACCAAAAAATCTGGTGTGCCAAGTATTTTGCTCGCTCACCAGCTCAGCTGTAGCAAACAAATATAACTGTTGTCACAATTCTACTGACATGGAGGAGGGAAGGGAAAAAAAATGTTATTTCACTGTACACACACAAGGTATCAGGTGCACTGCAAGCAGGCTGGGCACACTGATGGCCTGCAGCTTCCAATCCCACACTCTGTGCTCAGAACAATGGTCCAGTAGTGCAACTTCCCAGAGATGGTGAGAGGTCCAGAAAAGTAGCTCAGAGGAATCTTTTTCCCTGCCAGCATATCCTTAAGAAAATTTAGGACCTTAGTTTTCTAACTGACAATTGTGGAGGAAGGTCAATCCTCTGAAAGGCTTCGTCCTCGGAGATCTGCTCCCTAAGATAAAACAAAACTACTCAGTCATGGTGACTAAGCTGTGCACCCCTTCCTGCTTCAGGACCCCATGTTATCCCCCTGTAAACTATTGGTCATTTCACCCCAGTCTTAAAACATTGGTCCTTTCCCAGTTCTCCCCTTCCCTGTAAAAACCCCAGCTTTTGCCCAGTTCAGTGGATGTGACCGTCAGCGGCTCCCTTCTCTGAAGCCCGCCAGTAAAGGATTCTGTGGAATGCTACACAGCCTCTCATCCCTGGTCTACACGTCGGCTGGGGTGTCCCATGAGCTGATCTAAGCTGAGCACAAGAGCTGAAATCACATCTAAAAGAGCTGATCACTTGAAGCCTCAAGCCGAGCTCATAGGGGTTACCCCTGGCTGGAAACTGCCTGAGGGCCCTGGACAGCTATTGCCCACAGGATCCATACCCAGGAGGTCTGTGGTGGCAGCCAGGGGTCAGACAGACCCCCAGAACCAGCTGCCAACAGACAATGTTTCTTGAAATTGCCCGGGCAGACTGCAGACTGCATTTCTAATCATTTAGAGTAACCACAAGCCCATCATCATGAACAAAACTGCTGTTCCAGCATCTATTTTCTACATAAGAATTACACAAGGAGATCCCAGAGGACTACAGAAAATGACTGGGTGCTTGCTTACAGTCCCATCAGGAGTCCATCAGCATACATGCAAGAGACAACCTAAAGATATTTCTTAGAACTGAGACAGTTCCTTGCTGTGATTTGAAAAATAGGGCTATTCTCCCTATTTGGATGCAGAGTGCTATCAATAAGGCTGATGTTTGCTCCTGAGTTATGAGAAGTAGTTCAATTGTGTTGCAGAACTGAGAGGCAGTTCCTGTCACTGGATGACCCTGGTAATTGCTGGACAATGTCACTGCCCTGATCGTTCATTTCCTAAAGATTGCCCTATAGGAAACTTCTGCCCCAGAGGGAGAAGGAATGGGAAGAGCAACCCCAAGATGGCAGCATTAGCATCTTTCACTGGAAGAGGCTACAGCAAGTGATGAATATTCTAAGGGATGTGATCACGGTAATTTAGTGCTCAGAAGCACTTGTAAATTTTGATGGCTCCCTAGGGCAAAACCCTGCCCAGCAAGGCAGCCGCTGTGACACTGACACATAGTTAACAGGACTCAGTCATCTTTTGAAAACTGCACTGCAGCCTGGCTTTTTAGGATGCCAATTGTTCTCAAATTAGGCAAGGAAGTGAAACCAATTTTCAGTCCAGTAATGGAAATCATAAACCTGTATGACAACTTTAAGTGACACAAATCCAGTTTATGAAGGCTTCAATAATTTTATGCCTGTGCATAATAAAGCTTATATTCTCAGCACTAGTGGCAAAGAAAGCCATGACCTATTATATACCAAATATTCTATTCCATGTACAGAAAAAAATATACAAGTGAAATAACTGGGGGGGGGGGGTAATCTAGCCACAAATCTGCCTCTAAAAAGAAATGCTCAGGAAGTACTTTCTGTTTTACAGAAAAGGCTTACTATGTATCACAGAGAGTACTGCACATTCTGCAGCACTCATTTCACATAAACCCACATACTTTATGTTCTGTATAAATATCCCCTTTACCTTAAAGAAACTTCCTCTTTTGTCCACACAACGGGTTTTCATTGTCAAAGACGACATCTTCCCTGAGAAGACTCCACTGTATGCCTTGATCTCCTAAAAGGAGACACACATTTGTAATGGTTAGTCCAGTCTGTAGGAAATTCCTCTGCAATTCTAAGCCACAGAAACAGTCACAACAAGCCTTCTGCCAAACCCTTTCTGTCAACAACATTGTGCCATTTATTTCCTACCAGAGTCCTCACATATCCCTTCAGTTCATTATTTTTCCATAAATTGCTTCAAAAATACAGTGCTACTCAGAGTTCTCTATCTCTCCCTTCTTTTCACAGCTGATCCTGTAGCTGTGACTAGATTTTAATGTGCTCATTAAAAAGGAATTCTAAAACATAATGATTGCTTTCTTTGTTTACTTGACCTCAGTCTGCAGTACAAACAGAGCAAAATGTTAAGATGTCATTACAATGCACTTTCAAATGTTACAGAATTAGCAGGACTTATCTGGAGGGGAAAAACCAGTTCAAAATCACCCACAAGGGAGGAAACACTCTACCAATAAAGTAAAAACCAACAAACAACAACAACAAAAAGACCAAACACCCCTCAAAAAATGCTGCTTCAGGTTTCTAAAATGCAATTGAGTCATATTCAAGTCAGGAACTGAAGATGAAGTTAGGAAGAAGTTGCATTTTCTGCTTTCAGAAAAAGTGAAGCCCAGGACAATACACTAATGCATCCATCATGTGAGGAATATCAATTACCATCTGAAAGTAGAGAAGCAGAGTTCCTCTAAAGTCACAACCAAATCACACCAGTAATTTGTCAATCAGCTTCTGAACTAAGGAGTCAGTTCCATGGCTAAAAAGTCCTCCTAAGTTTTTTACTGGTGAGCTGTAATCGTATTTAAACAGCCTAATTTATCTCCTTGCCTACACATTTTCCAAACACATAGCAGGGAGTTATGTTGAAAGTTTCAGCTACCAAAGGGCAAATAATGCAACTGCAAAACACTACAGAGCAGAGACAGAGACACAGCTTTTGATTTTATACAAGCAAAAATTAAAAAAAAAAAAAAAAAAAAAAAAAAGCTGTCAGCAGCAGTGAAAAACACAAGTTCAGTGGTGTGGCTGGAGAGGGAGATGGAGCAGAACAAAGCAGCTGGGACAGAGAATGCTGACAGGTAAAAACCCACATTTGACACATACCCCACACCAAACACACACAAGCTTCTGCTTCCCTCTAATGCCTTATGAAAAAGAATTGACACGGGTAAGGAAGACCAAGGCAGAAGGAGCTTAAATGAAAAAAAGGGTTAAATGAAAAACCCTGGCAAACAAAAGTACATGAGAAAACTGAGAGATACAAGCAGGAGAAAAGAAACATTTTAGTTTTAACATGTAGCAAGAAGCTTTAAATAGTTCGCCTTGTTTCCAGAGGTCCTACCACAACAGCACTAGAAAAGGTTACATTTTTCCACTTGGATTCTGGCTAAAAAGCAGCCATACCAGAAAGCTCAGGAACCTGTTTTCCAGGCAGGATTTGCAGACTTTGAAGGCTGAAACAAAAATCTTGAATTCTGCATTACTGTGCAAAACTACACACTAGGGGATGTGCAAGAGAAGAAAAAAAAATTGCTGGGAAAAAAAAAATTAAAAATCCGCAACTTTCTTTCTAAATCAGTATATTTAAAGGATACACTCCCTGCGAAGCTCTGAAGAACTGTGAACCGTGTTTCTTTGCCTAGAAGTGCGCCTAAAAAACTTGACTACATTAATCCCCTAAGAGATGATGTTCAGGCAAGTAGGTGGTTTGCAGGTTAAATGAGTTAAGCTCCATCTCCACATTTACCACATACACAAGGGTACAGAGCAGTTGTTACCCTCTGGGGAGCATAAGAAATTATATTTTTTTTAAAAAAAAAGAGATCTTTACATAAATTCTGGAAAGAAAATTTGCACCTGAGAGTGTTACAGTGGAGGGAGACCCAAAAAACCTAAAAAAGAATTAGAAAAAAACCTCAAATTTCCAAGTTGATCCTATTCCCTTAATGAGAACACCAAATTAAATGACACAGAAAAAAACCCAGAGATTTTAAAGGAGTTACATTAGAGGGTTATGAGCAAGACCCTGCAGTTGTCTGTACATCTCTAGTCTCAGTCATTAATCACTCCATTTGCAAACAACAACCCCTTCGCACGAAATCTCACGGGTTTAATTTTTTTTTTTTCAATTTAACCACAAGGATGTCTGCATGCAATCCTATTACCAAAATAAGACCATGCTGGGACTTTTCCATTCTCCACTCAAATGTCCAGAGGAAGGAAAACACACAAATATACAATTTTTGCCTTTCAAAGAGCGGTATGACTCCAGTCAGAAGAAAGCCTCAAACAAAACCACTGCTTATTTAACTTGTAAGAGGTTCTGGAACTCTAAACCTCTTCATAACTTCTATTACTGTCACTATTTATGCAGCATTACTGCTATCTGTAGGACCTTAACTCTGAGCCTCAGCTGGGCTCCTCTCAGCTTCACACAGCCAGTGAATCAATCCCCACCACCTTTTGTGGTTAACAATGTAATTTCACACTAATTTAGGGTAACCTAAATAATGTTTCATGTTTGAGTGGGTTTCAGTGTTTCTGACTAAAATCAGCACAATGGGAAACTCTGCTGGGCTTTTATGTATTTGTTGGGAAGGGTTCTTTTGATGCAGATACCTCTTTTTCACCATCCGAAACACCAGAAGACACTAGGGCTTGCTGGTAAAATTGATGGCCAGGCTGAGTGAAAACCTGGGGATGGGCTTCTACTTTGGAGCTGATAGGTACCTCCATATCGTGCAGAAAAAACTGCATAAAAACAAACCTTCTGTCAGAATGTTTCATTTCTCTAAACAGCTGTGCACATCTGATTCTTACTCATATCCAACAGGCTGGAAAACCACTGCTCTGAGGTCGTCCTTGTTGAGTTTGGACCGTATGAGGCTGTCAGAAGCAAAAAAATCTTCCTCCTCTAATCTCTCTCCTGATTAGGAAGCTAGGTGGAGAAAGTCTGCAAAACATGTAATCTCCTGTACCTGCTGGAGAGAAGTCTTTTCTCCTCCTCCTGTGTTCCAGGCACTGAGGCAGAGAGCCCAGGCAGATTCACCCAGACACTGCCCAGGTGCTGCCTGCTCAGAAACCCACCTGGAAATGTCACCAGGCTGCAGGAGCCAGCTCACTGTGTAATTCCCATGGCCTTTTGCCTGGCCATCTGGAGAGAAGCCTTCTCTGCGTCCCAGTGCTTTGTCCCAGCTCTCTGTAGGCAGCAGATGCCAGACAGTTCCTACCCACAGCACTGCCTTCCTGCAGCTCCCCACACCCAGGACAGAGATCCTGTGTGTGACTGACAAGACAGGGCAGGGAGAAGGGCAAGATCTGTCTGCTTGGCAAATTTCCCTCAAGTTCAGTGCCATTGCATGGATGCTCACGCCCATGCAAGCCGTATGTTGCAAAAAGAAAGGAGTCTTTCTTCCATTCCCTTCTCCTGCTGTTTTCCTTCACATAGGCATGCCAGAGCACCTTTCACATGCTTGTATGCAACCTGACTTCTGACTCATCAAAACAGCTCCTACTTTATTCCCTCTGCTGCAATTTTATTTGGGTTTTTTTGTATGTTCTTATACTTAACTATATTAAAGCTAATGACCACCTCACCGGACTTTTCAGGATCCTTCCCTTTAATCTTCTCATTCCAATCCTACTTCTATGAAGCAAAACATCCCTTTTTTTTTTTTAGCTGGAAGTCCTAGCAAAGACAGACAGTCTGTCTGTATGCCCCTCCTGAGCTCAGCCACAGCAATCTGAGGAACGTATGAAGACCCTGCCCCTCCTTAACCCATCTTTGCTCAACTTCCTAAGCAACCAAGGCTATCCAACTGCACCAGCTTCCTGTTCCTTAGGTCCTGACTAGGCTTTTTGATCCTTTGGACAACCTAACAAGACCTGACTGACAAAACACAGACAAAAAGATAGCAGGAAGAGAGTCCACGTATGCCACCAGTGAAGGAAGAGACCTGCAGCCTTCCTTTTGCTGGCTGACCCACAGAACTATAAACTTTTTTCCCCTGTATTTTAAATATAAGTTATCGCACTGAAGAAACTCAGTCTGCCCTCTTTCATTCTCCATCTGTAAAGGCTGTGCAATCACTGAGCATAGATTGTCACAAACACTACCTCAGGTAAATTAAGAAAGGGTTTTACTGTTCTGCAGCCAAGAAGACACAGGAGAAAATATCAGTCCAGACCTTATGTATAAGCTGGCAACGGTCAGCTGATGTCAGAGGCTAATGCCGATTGCTACGTGTCAGTGCATTCCCTTGGCCAACAGTGGGGTACAGCTGGAATACAATCCCTACTGCCCCATGACAGAAAAGCATGGAAGCTAGGCAGAAGCCACTGCAGGTCTATTTGTAAAACCTATGGTGAATTAGTGTCATATTACAATCAATTTTTACAGCAATCTATAAATACATACTATTGAAACAACTAAAATTCATTCGGTGAACCCATTTTCTGTTGGGTTAAAGTGGAAACCAGAAACAGGAAGGATAAATACATTTTACGTAATTTTAAAAAGTAAAAATACCCCACCCTGCTCAATTGCAACTTTACACTTGACAATATGCCAAGAAATATACATAGTACTTCAGATTTTCATCAAATGTAATCATCCTCATGCACTTCATTTTCCTGTTCTCCTCGTGCATTTGTCAGTCCCAGGGAGCAGGCTGTGCTCATCTCTAACCTACAAAGCTCTGGTTTGTCCAATTACTCTGACCTTATCTGAATCTTGGCAAAATTAAACTTTTCCTTTTTGAAAGTATTTCCTCTGAGAAGCTGACTGCAAGCCTCCTTCCAAGAACATAGATACAACTGAGCACAGTATCACTTTGAAAATCTATCAAATAAGACCTTCAGTCTGCAAACTATCACTGGTGCCAGGATCTGGAAGACCTCTCAACTCAAATGTCGCATTGTGTTAACACAGCTGTATCCACAAGCAAAATGCGAGAGGATTATGTAAAAAGAAATTCTAATTTCCATCATTCTTCT